CGAATCCCGGTACATCAGAGCCATTACCTTTTTCAAAAAAAAAAAAAAAAAAAAAAAAAAAAAGGCCAAACTCGAGTTAAGATTTCAACATGTGAGTTTTTTAATAATATCTTTATCTGTTTTTTAAATTTTTATTAGTATTTATTTGATTACACTCATTATAGTACATGTATATAACACATCTTAATTTTTTAAATTCCTTTCTCCACCCCCATACCTCCTCATCTCTTGGTTCCTTTCCTTTTTTGCAAATATATGAATTCTGGAGTAACACAAACCTTTAGTCTATCACATTAAGATTTGTAGACACAGCATTCTGTTTAAAAGAGACCAACAAGGTGGGCATAGTTGTGCACACCTGTAATCCCAGCACTCTGGAAGGCTGAGGCAGCAGAATCACAAGTTCAAGTCCAGCCTGGGCAATTTAGCAACTTAGGGAGCCTCTCTCTCAAAATAAAAGATGTTTTAAAAGGGCTTAAAATGTAGCTCTGTGGGAAGAGCCCGGGTTCTATCCCCAGTACTACAAAAACAAAACAAAAAACAGAAGGCAGAAAAAATACCATATATTCATGATATCCTGATGTGAATGTGCAAGCTCATGTTCAGATCCCAGCTTGAAACAAAAGTAAAAAAGAGCTCAGGTTGTCTCTCTCTTCCTGTCAGAAAAACCTCCCGGTTTCCTGGACTGGAATGTTCTTCCGTAAGCTCTTTGCGCAGTTGGCTTTGCCTCACCCCTTTGACTACCCCAACCTAAAATAGTTCTGCTGCTTCCCCTCATGAAATTTATAACAGTGATCTAAAATTGTCTTGTTTAGTTATTGTTAATTTATTATTGATTTCCTCTCCTGGAACAGAAAACAGAAAAACAGGCACCTCCCTTGTCTTATTCACTACTGTTTACCCACTACCTACAAGAGTGCCTGGAGCTCAGTAGATACTTAACAAAAATGTCTTGACGGAAAAGGTAAATTAAAATACTACCTAACATTTGTTGCGTACACAGTGTATGTCAGCCCCTCTACTGGGCATTATCTCATTTAATCCTCACAACAAATCTATGAGGCCTGTATATCGCTATTCTCCTTTCACAGATGAGGACACTGAGGCACAGAGAAGTGAACTGACTTACACATGGTCACAAAGCCAGTGACTACTAAATGTGAACTCAGAAGCTATCAACCCACAGGAAATGAAATGGCAGTAGTCTGGCATGTCTTCTTGGGAAAAGATGACATTGCGGTAGAAGCTATTCCACGCCCCCCTCCCAGGTGGAGCTGAACAATTGTATTGGTTTGTTTTCCATTAACAAAATACCTGAGGCTGGGTAATTTATAAAAAGAAAGAAGTTTATTTAGCTCACAGCTTCTGAGGCTGCAAGTTCAACAGTGTGGCACTGAGAAGTATGAAGTCCCCTGAGACACAACACATCGTGCAGAGGGTGTCACGGCGGGGGTCCACATGCACTGAGAGATCACGTGGTAGCACACGGATGGAAAGGGAGCAGTAACAGTCTCCCACTAGGCTCCAACTCTTAAAAGTCCCACCGATTTTGAACATTGTTACACTGAGGACCAGCCTCCAACACCTTCAGAGGACACACTCGGATAACATTCAAACCATCACAATGTTCTTTCTTTTCTATGGACCCATTCTGTACTAATGCTACCTTTTGAAAACACCATTTTTTATCTTCTTAGCAAAGAGATTTGTACATGAGCAATTATGTTTGGAGTTGGGTTTTTTTGTTTTTTGTTTTTTTTGTATTGGGAATTGAACTCAGGACCTTGCACTTGCCAGGCAGGCACTGTGCCACTGAGCTATATGCCTGGCTCAGGAGTAGTTATGGACAGTCCTGGGAAATAGCATAAGTCATTGGGAGGGATATACAAAGAAATATGGTTTGCATCACTTTCTGGTGAGAAACAAGATCTGTAGACACAACAGTACTCATCTGGCTCTGGTCTGCTTCTCTTCCAAGCATTTGCTTCATGGTTTCCATGCAGTGTAGGCTGAGGCAGACAAGTGGGGGTCAAGATATCAATTGCTATCAAGATATCCATTTTTGTCACATACTGAGACCTGTGGCATGTCCGTGTCTGAGTTTCCTCTGTAAATGGGGATCTGGCCCACCAAGAAGTAAAACAACCATTCGAATCTATAAATATTGTACCAAATCACTTAGTCAAAACTGTATCAACACACAATAGCTTTGCCTATACGGACTTTTTTGTGTCTTCTAGCCCCACAGGAAATCCCAGCTACATACTCTTCAGTGAATAAAGCTACAAACAAGAAAACTGTTTCCGCCTTGAGCTACACTGAGCCCGAAACCGACTATGATGACGTTGAAATCCCTGGAAATACTCAAAACCATAATTCGAAAACAAACATTTCTTCTTTTTGGCATGCTGGAGAGAGTTCGCACAACTTATTTTAGAAGTATCAAGAAGGGTTGGCCTTCAGTACTGAAAGCCAGTGGTGATTTTATGAAACTCTGAGATAAATACTTCCTGAACCTTGAGGAAGACGCCCCAAGGATCAGGTAATCACAGCCAGAGGAAAGACACCAATGCTCGGCCCCAAGGACTAAGGGGTCAGTGCTTGTGCTTCTTCAGTTGAGGTTTCCATGGGGTGGACCACTCTGCTCCATACTCACACCTGTGAGAAACAACTCACTTCTCAATACTCCCCCTCCTTTCACTCAGTTTGTGGGGTTGTGATAGTTAATCTTAGTATGTGACTGTGCAGCGCCTTCCAGCTCCTATCTCTAGCGAAGCATTCACCAATCTGATTCCCCTTTGTCCCGCCCATCCCTGTGTGGAAAGGCTGAGTGGCAGTTACAGCTGGGCACTCTTGTGCACAAGTCCCCACTTGTCACTTGGTGAGTTTGTAAGGACGAGAAGTGCTTTTAGTTCTTATTAATCCTCCCCATCTACATACACCCCTAACTCCAATGCCTTTATACTACATGGACTACAGAGAATCAACTTCTGACCTAGGTTTTTCCCTGCGCTTGCAGGTGGCAATGTAACAATCAACAGAGGACAAAATTACCCTCTGGTTTACACCCACAGGTGTCAATTTGCAGTAGGGCCACAGGAAAGCAGTATTTCCCCCTCCAGGAAAAATAGGGGTTCAGTGTCATTTAACAGTTGCATATTCAAGATGGAGCTCAGGGAACTTAACAACTCCTCCCATAGTTTTCATTAGTGCTCCACCTCTGGGAGCTGATCTGCCTTGGAGTTCTTTCCCTGTCCCTGTTCGCAGCACTCCTGGGGGAATCTCACCCATGCCCAGGGGCTCTGTGGTCTCTTCTATTTTTATGACTTCCAAATTGGAGACTCCAGCTGAACCCACTCTCTCCAGTTCCAGACTGGGTTGTTTCCAGGACATCTCCATCGGACCATCCCACAGGACCCTCAAATTCAACATATGCCCTAAGAAACTGATTATAGACCCCAGCCCTCACCTTTTATTTCCAGCATTCCCTATCACCTGTTTGTGTCTCCCAAGCAGCTCCCCGACCAGTTCACCATTCTGAGGTCAGGCCATTGCCAGCCACTGCCAGGAGAACATGAACAGCCTCCTAACTGGACTTCTGCGGCTGGCATCTCTCCCTCCACATCACTTGTCACATTGCAGCTGGTGATTTTCTAAAGTGAACTTTGGACCACTTTATTCCCGTGATGAAATCTGCTCTTTGCCTATTAACCTCAGAAAAGGGTCAAACTCTTCAACATGGTTTATAAGGTTTGTCAGGACCTGGTTCCTGAGCACCATCTTTCACCTCCTTCTTCCTTTACCCCTTTGCAGCTTTTTTGGCTCTGGCCACTTGAAATGACTTCACCAGGATCTCTCTTGCTCCCGGGGCTGTGCAGAGCACTGTCCCTGATGTATGGAATGTTCTTCCTTACCTTTGCATCTTCTCACCTCTTTCTATGTATCCTTTCCTTTCCACCCCAAATTTGGGTTGGCTTAGGTGCTCTCCTATGATAGAATTAGCACCAATAACCTTCTGTTCACCTGTTTTTCTCTTCCACTTGATGGAAAGCAACACAAAGCCAGGGACCGTATGCTTTCCTCAGTGTTTTCCTCGTTCCTAGCACATTATAGATGCTCAAAAGATATACTCCATGATAACAGAACGAACCTCTCGGGGCTTTCACAGATCTCCATACACGATCCCTCTATAAAGGTTTTTCCCTTTGTATTATAATTGCCTAGTTACATTTCATCCTCTCATATTCTGGGGGCTCCTCTGGGGTGGAACTTGTCTGGCTTACTGCTATGTTCCCAGTATCTTGCACAAACTTTGGCAAATAGTAGGCAGTCAATAAATATTTATTGGATGTTAAACATTAATTGAAAAATCTAGCAATTATTTTGACTACTGTGACCACCATCACCCCCCCAATTTTTCCCCTCTGGGCATTTTAATTCTATTGAGACTGGGAACATGTCATGAAGCTATGTTTTCTACCAAGTAAATTGTTGCCACTTAGGATGATAATCTTAAATACATCAAGATTTCACAGGACTTGTGTGTGTATCCTAACTCTCCAGGTGACTCCAACTAGCCACATACACACTGATTTTTAAACATCTAAAAAAGAGCCAGGTATGATGGCCCACACCTGTAATCCCAACACTTGGGAGGCTGAGGCCCACCAGGAGTTTGAGGCCAGTCTGAACTGCATAGTAGGACTCTAGCTTAAAAATAAGACCATTTCCTTTCTAAGTTATATTAAGCCTGAAAATAACAACGATGATGTTGAAATACCTATAGACATTGAAAATCATTACTTTGAGATCTATTTTGCCACTTTAACAGTTTTGAAAACTGTTGACACCAGTCAGAGGACTCTGGGGTTTTGTGTGTGTGTGTGTGTGTGTGTGTGTGTGTGTGTGTGTGTGTGTCTGTTTGTGTAAAACTTAGAATCAAACCCAGGGCCCTCACACATGCTAGGTAAGCACTCTACCACTGAGTTACAGTCCAAGCCCTTTTTATTTTAAGACAGGGTCTTGCTAAATTACCTGGGCTGGCCCCGAACTTGCAGTCCACCTACCTAAACTTCCCTGAGTAGCCGGATTACAGGCATGCATCCATGTGCCTCACTTTAAGTTTTCTTTATAATAGTTATAATCCAATCTCCTTTGAAAAACAAACAGGATTGTTTTCAGGAAATGCACTGTTTATTACCAGTAATAAATTTTATAAATTGTGTCTATGTATTAGGGTGCTTTAGGTTGCAAGGAAGGAGGGAAAAAAGGAAGGAGGGAGGGAGAAATGATAGATCCCTAGTAATCCAAAACTCAACCGGGCAAAAACATTAAGTATTAGGCTAGAGAGTAATCTTTCACTTGATGTCCTGCCTTCCAGACATGCTTGAGTGCAGTATGGGCCCCCAGGGCTCTAGAGAGACTCCTCTGTGACTTTATCGGGTGCACTCCATGTGGCATCTCTTAGGTCTGACAGGTTGGAGTCCTAGGTCTGCAGATCTCCTAGACTGGAACTGCTCAGTGGTATCTGTACCATTCTGGAATCTTAGGGGTGCCCTGTCCGAACTGCCCTGGTGAGGGCTCTCAGCAGTGGCTCTTCCCCTGAGGCAGTTGTCTGCCTGGACCTGGAGGCTGGCTGAGGCATCCTCTGAAACTGCAGTGTAAGTAGCCCCACTCCCACAGCCTGCGCATGTTGCACATCTATGAAGACGGTAGTGCGCACATGTCACCATGTTTTACCATCTGTGCCTTCTAGAGGGGTAACCCGAGCTACATCGGTTACCCCTAGGACCAAGAGAACAAAAGCTGAAGTGGCCAAGGAGTGCTGTACCAGACTGCAAGAGGCAGAGCCCTGAAGTCATTCTGCCCACAAAGCCCAAGCTTTCTGGCCTGTGATGGCAGGGCATCCCCAGAGATCTCTGAAATGCATTCGTGGTCTTTCTTCCATTTTCATGATGAGCAGAATGAGGCTTTCATATATCCACACTAATCTCTATCAAATGTTCACTTGGTCACACTTTTAGTGTTTTCTGTTAAACATACTTTTTCATTCTTTACGATATTCCCAGGCTGAGAATTTTCCAAATTTTTAAGTTGTTTCCTTTTTTATTATGCATTCCATTTCTGATCAATTTATCTGTTCTTACAAGTAGACAAGAGAAGCCATGTGTTATGGTTTACATATAGATGTCCCCCTAAAGCCTGATGCGCTCATAGGTTGGCATTTGGAGAGGTGATTGCATTGTGGGGGTGCTAGACTCATCAGTAGATTGGCCCACCAACGAGTTTGTAGCTAAATATGCCATTAGGAGGTGGGACATGGTTGGGAGAAGCAGGTCACTGGGAGCATGACCCAGAAGGGTATATTGCCTTCTCTGACTCCTCCCTTTGCTCTCTGCTTCCTGTGAGCAGCTTTCCCATTGCTGTCTCCCTCTGCCATGCCATCCTACTTTGGAGCCAGCTGACCATGGACAGCAACATGAACCAAAATAAACTCCTCCTCTAAGTTGTGAGTATTGGATACTGTGTTCCAGTGACTAGAAAGTAACTAAGACAACACATCTCACCCTTGATGCTTTGCTTAGGTGTTTCTTCTACCAGATATCCTATTCATCACTAAGTTCGTCCTTCTGCAAAATGCTAAGACACAAACCCAATTCATGGGGCTGGGGATTTAGCTCAGTGGCACAGTGCCTGCCTGGCAAGCAAAAGGTCATGAGTCCAATTCCCAGTACCAAAATATAAAAAATTTTTTAAAAACCCAATTCATCCAAATTCTTTGCCACTTAGTAGCCATGACCACCCCTCTTCCTATTTCCAATAACATGTTCCTCATTTCCGTCTGGTACCCAGAATGGTCTTTTCTGTCCATAGGTCTATTAACATCCTGTTCATGACATCTTAGATAATCTCTAAGATGCTTGAGACTTGCCCTGTAGCTCCACTGTCCTTCTGAGCCTGTACCAGAATCACCCTTCCTGGTCTACTTACAGAAATACAGGCTTTTGCAGCATGTACTTCCAAACTCATCCAGCTGCTACTCATCACCCAGTTCTAAAGCCATTTCCACATTGTCAGGTACTTGTTAACAGCAACACCCCTACTTCTTGGTTCCAGTTTCTGTCTTGGCCCATTTGGGCTGCTATAACAAACTAGACTGGGCAGCATAACTCAGTTTTCTGTCACTGTAACAAAATACCTGTGGTTATCAACTTATAAAGAGAAAAGATTTCTTTCAGCCCAGAGTTTTGGCTGTTTCTGTCTATGATCACTTTGGTCCTGTTGCTTTGGACCTATGACAATGTAGTGCATCATATCAGGAGGGTGTGGCACTACAAAACCACTCACTTCGTGGCCAGGAAGCAAAGGAAAAGTGGAAGGTGCCAGAGTCTCACCAGTCCTGAAATGACTTAAAGACCTCAGGATTTCCCATCAAGTTCCCTCTCTTAAAGGTTCTACCACCTCCCAATAGCACCATCCTGGAAATTAAGCATTTAACACATAGTCTTTCGGGGGGAGGGTGGTCAAGATCCAGACTTAGCACTGGTTAAGCAACAGAAATCTATATTGTTCTCAATTCTGGAGGCTGGGGAATCCAAGATCAAGATGCCAGCAGATCCAAGGTCTGGGAAAGGCTTTCTGTCTGCTTCAAACATAGCACCTCCCTGCTGTGTCTCACATGGTGGGAGGGAAAGGCAGCTCCTGAAAGGGCATAATCATGACTGTGTAGCCTTCATGATTTAATTTTCTCTCAAAAGCTCACCTCTTTAGTACAATTGCCCTAAATTGTAGGGCAATGGGGGATGAATTCTGGGAATATAAACGCTCAGATAATAGCACAGCTATAGGACAGATGGAGAAATGAAAACTGATGGAAAGGTACAAACATTTTCCACCTTTCTGGATGTAAGTATGTTTTGTCATAAAAGAGGAAAGAGAGCAGAGCTACTGGGCAAGCAACCTGCTGTCTCCATGGGTTGCTTCACTTTCACAAATATACTCTTCATTATTTTCTCTTTTCTCAGCTGTAGTTTCAGTTTCGGAAGTGTTAGAGAGTTTAGGTTAGGTATAGTGCCCAGAATCTACCATTCACCCTTCTTCTCTTACAGAGTCCAGACTATTAAAAATAAATAAAGGATTATGAGGTAGCAGGGGATACTAACGGTAATAGCAGTAGCAACAATAACAGGGGCCACTACTGGCTAAGTTCTTCCTCTGTTCAGGGATTCAATGTACAAAATAATCATAACAGTGAACAGGCAGGGGCTGGGGATATAGCTCAGTGGCACAAGTGCCTGCCTGGCAAGAGCAAGGTCCTGAGTTCAATTCCCAGTACCAAAGGGGGGGGGAAAAAAAACCATTGAACAGGCAGGACTGGTGGGATGTGGAACCTTCTTCTAGGCTTCTGTGGTCACTCTTAGACAATAAGAAGTCTCCCAGATGTGAGTTACACTGCAGTACGCATTTGTTTAAACTCAGTAGATGTATGCTAAAGAGTTCTGCATTTCTTTTTTTATTTCAAGAACATGTATTAACCAAATTAACACCTTATCCATGATCCTCTAGGAAGCCTTCCACCTGTTTCAAGCTCTTGATACTTCATAACCATGTATCATATGTAATGCATTTATGTTACTCCCAAATACACATTGGTGCATATAAGAAATGAACAAAAATAGGCTAAGTTGAATACATCTTCTGTCTTCCTTTTTGGTAAAAAAAATTTTTAATAATCCAGAAATAAAAAAAGAAACATGGGCTACCTCTTGTTGAACATAAAATACTAAACTAATTCTTGCCCCTTCAACCAGAGATTAGTTTGCTATATCTTTAGCTAGCAGTCATTTAAAAATAAATTAATTAATAATAGTAATAATACTTATAATAAATTTAGTTTTTAAGAAAGATCTGGTGAAAGTTCTAATCTCTTTTTCAAAATGTAATGTTAATTATAATTCTTTAATATTATTGACCATTCATGATGTCATAAATACACAAGGGTAAAAGTTTCAAGTATTATATAATTTTTCCAAATATAAGAAATACTCTGGAAACAGGAAATCAGTCTAGAAGATACTTTCATGCCATACATAGTGGTTCTCAAAAGAGTATGGGGGTGGAAGATGTCAGGTGCCATTAGCAATGTCTGGAAATTTTTGAACGTCATAAGTAGGAGGTGCTACAAGTGTCTGTTGAGTGAAGACCACAATATTGCTAAACATACTATAATTTACAGAATGTGTCTCACAACAGGTATTCAACCTAAAATGTCAATAGTGCTGAGTCTGAGAAACCAGTAACAGCAAATTTAGAAACTAAGCCTGGGAAGAGGGAACTCTTAAAAATTAAAAGATAGATAGACT